CATTAATAGTTATACTCAAAAAATCCAACTATAATCTATTAATTTATCAACATTTCATCATACTGCTACAGCTGGTGCCTTCTGTAATCCTGGATTCTCCTAACAGCTCAACCACTGCCTCAAATTTTGATCTATTGCAAACGGAAGAGGATATTTATAATAAAATCCTAAGGGATTTTTCACAAATTTATGAAAGTAAATTTCAAATTATTAAGGCTTTGGAAACACTGGTACAGTATCAGCCGCTTAAAACTCTAATAAATGACAACATTTTAGAACTTTTAAAAACATTACAAGACATTTTAACCGCCCACGTTGAAATGACTGCAAAAGTTAATGCTGAAACGGAAATCAATTCAGCGGTCTTAATGATTTTATTAATTTTAATAAGAGAAATTATTGAAAACTCGCCCACACATCTGGAAGATTTGCAAAATAATTTATTTAAACCCTTAAAACAACTTGAGTCTCAACTACAAAATGAAAATCTAAAGTATCAAATACGTTGTCTTTTAAAAATTCTTAAAGGAGAGGAAACATTCACCTATCACAATTTAAAGAAAAATGATTTCGAAGAAGCTCGCTCACTCATTGAAGCTAACGAGTCATATTTACAAGTAGAGGGTATTGAAAAGATGATAAAACTTTTAAATAAACGTGAGGAATTTGCTGTCTCCAATTGTCATTTATTAACAGCATTGGCCTTGAATACTCTAAAGTCTCCCGAATCGTATACATTCCTAAATTGCGTTAGACTATTCGTTTCTTTGGTTAATGTTAATGAATCGGAAGTTTTGGAACTATTAGCCGATGAGTATTTGAATGAAGCAGCAGCTATGGATTATAGATTGGTGATAGGAGAAGCTATTTTGAAAACATCAAGGGAATTGGGTAAAACACTTATTAATTACTTATTTATAAGTAATTATTTAAATTTAACGTTTATTGTAGGTCCTTTGTGCTATAAATATAAAAGTGTTCTTTTAAATGCCTTTATGAGCGGCTGTCGTTCTCCGTTAGATGAATTTCGCTTTTCCGCCTTTTCCAATCTGGCTCAAATGTGCCGTTTATTAACCTATCAGGTTCATAATTATTTCCAGGAAGTAAGTTTAATACATTTTTGTATTACTATCATGGCTTTAATTAAATTTTCTTAACAGCTTTTAAATCTTATTGATTGTGAATTATCTACGGGCAAATATTTACCTGCCAAAAGAGCTGCTGTTATGGTTTTAAGTGATTTATTGTCAGGCATGGATAATCTTTTCGATTATGAAGAAATGCTTTTACCCATTTATCGTCTATTGAAATATTTGGTGAATTCAGAGCAAAACGACGAAAAGATACGTTTGCATGCTTCGAATGGCCTGAAATGTTTGTCGGAAAAATGTCAAGAACTTTTCCGAAATGCTTTAGAGCAACAACAACAGGGATCACCTTTGACTAAGGAAATTAAAATAATGGGTATACATGACAAACCCAAGAGAAACTTAAAAAGCCATATTTTAGAAATGAATTAATAAAAGTTGATTGTACATTTTGTGTAAATAAATTTTATTTTTATATAAAAATAAATAAACGGAAATAAAACTAATTTAAAGCCGATCAAGAAACAGCCAAATCTCAAAACTAATAACTCCAAAATTTTATTAAAATCAACCTTATGTATATCCTGTTTCCTACATAATACAATTTTCTTATACTTTTCTCTCTGCTTTAAATTTTAGTGAAGTTATGGTAAAAAAAGTAAATATTTGCGCCAAACATACATAACTCTATACAAAAATACAACTATTTTACGCATCATATTTACAATTTCATTTCCTTTCGGTTTTTGCTCTCTCTCACTCTTTTCTTTAAACAAGTGTCAAACAATAAGTTGGCAACACCCACCATGGCTTTCCAATTGGCATTTGCAAAAAATACGCGGCAATTTTGATGTGAAAATGTTCGTTCTTCTTTTGGTGTAAAAAAAGTTGTTAAAAGTTAATTAAATAGTTATTAACTGTACAAAGTACAAAGTTTTTTTCTAATTCGGTTAAACATTAGTAAAATGTGAAGGAGTGTAAGCAAAAAAGTATCAAAATAAGAAAATTGCAAAAGTTGTTCAAAGAATATTGTGTTTATTTTTACAAGTTGTTTATTTTTTAAAAATTTAAATTAATAATACATTATTAGTTTGAATCATTTAAGAAAATGTTAATTTATCTAATGAATCAAGTGATTAATGATTGTACCGGCAATTGGCACTGTCTTGCTGTGAGATGACAAGTTGTGTTGTTAATTTGTATAAATTTTAAAGAAAATGAAAACATTTCTTTACAAATTTGCAAAATGGTTTACAACAACCTCTGTATCTGCCGAGAAGCTGATAAAAATGTTAAAGATATTCCAATTACTTGAACGCGTAATCATTAGTTGGGTAAGTAATTGAGTCTAATTTTATTAAAATACTTGAAACTGCTTAGAAAAATCTTAAAGTTTCCCATGATAATGAATTTGACTAATAACAAGACCTCTAAAGACAGCTGAACCAATAAATAACATTTCAATATAATTGAGGTCAAAGAAAATGTAAGAAAAAACAATTAAAAATTAATCAACAATTCGTTTTAAATAAAAATTTTATTGTTTTTTATTGCTTTGGTTAAAATCTAATACAAAAAACAAATGCATTTTCTTATATTAAACAACATTTAGTTAGACGTTTAAAAAACTAATCAGCCCAGTTACTTTTACAGTTTTTCGCTGTAAATGTTCGTTTGTCACATTCGCATATCACTTGCCAATATTGAATTCCTGCTCAATTTTATCTGCCACCATTTTAGCAATAGCCAAACTACTGGTGGCTCCGGGTGAGGGAGCATTACGGCAATGCAAAACACGCTTAGCTAAAGCATCGGTACCTGTACCACGATCGAAAACGAAGTCATCTACTAAATTACCATCCATATCCATGGCTTGTGCTCTTACACCGGCGGGACCGCGACTGACATCGTATTCGGTAATGTTGGGAATGAATTTTTGTAAATCCTTAACTTGCAGGGGTATGAAGGCGGATTTGCTCATTTCACTCAAACCGAAACCAATGTATTTAGCAGCCATTTTAAGGAAACCGGGATAGCGTAAGGCATCGAAAAGTTCTAGGAGATTAATATCGCCCCAACTAAAAAAAACAAGTAGAAAATAAAAATTAGTATTAAAAAAACAGAAGATAAAACATTCAAAAGGTTATATATAATCTCTTCCTTATCTCCCTTTATAATTTTTTTTGTTTATAAAATGTTTATCTCTATCAGGTTGTTATTTTCAAAAACTTTTTCTGTGTTTAAAATAACAAAAATACATTTTTCATAAAAAAAATAACTTACGTGTAGCCTTCTCTCTTGAAAGCCAAAACGGCATTGGGACCCAACCAAACACTGCCATCCATACGGGGTGTAAAGTGGACACCCAAGAAGGGGAATCTAGGATCTGGTACAGGGTAGATATTGCCCTTAACCATGTGAGACTTTTCCTTAGACAAAAGCAAATATTCGCCACGGAAGGGTAAAATACGTGGAGAACGAGGACAGCCAGTCTTTTCAGCCAATAAATCTGATTGCAAACCACCACAGGTTAAAACATTACGAGTACGTACTACTTGGTGTGATTTATCACCATGAATAGTGACTGGATATTCAGCATCACCAGATTCAGTGAATTTGGTAACCTATAAAGTATTAAAATAAAGTTGAAATTACTTCCTAAAATGTTTTATTAACATTTTTAAATTACCTTGTAGTCCAGGAAAATGTCACCACCAGCTTGTTTGAAATCTTGACCATAATATTGAGTCACTAGACCCCAATCGACTATACCAGTATGAGGACTCCACAAGGCTTTAACACCCTGACAGTAGGGTTCAATTTCCTTAATTTTGTTACCATCGATCAATTGTAAATCAGGTACTTGGTTCTTAATTCCTCTTTCATGCAAATCCATTAAACGTGTCACTTCCACATCATTAGTGGCCACAATAAGTTTGCCACATTTCTTATAGGGAATTTTCTTTTCATCCAAATACTTATAGGCCAAATTTAAACCCTCTACACAGAGTCTAGCTTTCAAAGTACCAGGTTTATAGTAAATACCAGCATGTATAACACCAGAATTGTGACCACTTTGGTGGATAGCTAATTTTGACTCTTTTTCGAGAATAGCAATTTTCAGAGACGGATGTCTAAGTAAAATTTCCCTGGCAGAAGCAACACCCACTATGCCTCCACCTACGACCACCAAATCATAATCACTAGTTTTAAAAAAAAAGTCATAAAAATGTTATACAATCAGTTTTTTGTTTTTAATTCACTGCAAGTAATAAACTTACCTGTTGTTTTGATTATGTTGCCATCTCTGCTGTCTAATAGCCACCGCTAGAGGCAATTTAAAGTTTTGAGGTTTAAGATTTTTTAATAATAAAGCCATTATGTTTGGTATATTTTATTGGGTTTAGTAGAAAAATCCTGTTTTCCTTGTTAACTCAATGACCTTTGTCTAACCTTGTGTACCTCAATCAAATCGTTTAATAATTTTATTGAAAATTCTTTATTCAATTTATTTCAAATGCAGCCCCTCTCTGTGTGCCACTAGAGTTCTTTCGTTTTTATTATTGTTATTTATGTTGCTGTAGCGCGTGTTAAGCATTTAACACACATTAAATTGTTTTTCTTTAGACACAAATAAAATAATAATGATAAGACAACTACGCTAAATACTACTACTGCTGCTATCAGATAAAGTGAATTAGAAGACCATGTTTGCTCTTCTATGCTGCTTCTAGTTCTCATGGTTTTTGTTTTTTCTTTCTATTTTCTATTTTTATCACGGTAATTAAACAGAAAAAATCTTCGTCAAAAGAAATGAAAAAGTCGTGGAAAAACAAAGTCAGCTGTGCGAAGGCAGGGTTGTTAAATATTTTAAAATATAGAATGTCAAAACAATCGCCATGTTATCAATTCAAAGTGATTGTTTTGTTTTAACAAAAAGGTAAACAAACAAAAATTTCACAAATATTGCAAATTTCTTAACCAAAAGAAAAGCCGCAAATAAAAACTAAATGCCCTCATTTTGTGCGGTAGCTACTTGTAATGATAGATATGGGCATTCGGAAAATATATCTTTTCACAAGTGAGTAAAAAAAACGTAAAAAATTCAAGCAGATTGTTAATCCCATTCATGTACAGGTTTCCTTTAAAACGTTCCAATTTACTAAAGCAATGGGAAGCTTTTATACAAAAGCAACGAGGCGCAGAGTGGCATGCCTCACGTTGGAGCTCTCTATGTAGTCGTCATTTTCGTGAGGAAGATTTTCGTTCTTTAAATGAACGCCGCACGCTAAAGAAAACTGCCGTACCCTCTATATTAGGTGTTCCTGCAACGTCGGAGGAGAAGTGTAAACCAAAAAAGCCTACTAAAGTTATAGAATCTTGCGAAAATACTAGAGAAAAAGAATTTAAAGAAATTTTGGCCATAAAAGAGAGACTAGAAGATACTGTTGTGGAAGCGGGTGGTCCTGCCGTTTTGAATGTACCTAAAGCTAATTGTCGTTTATGTGGTATAGCCTCAGTACCCGAAGCCAATTTTCTAACCAATTATGAACTCTATGGTTTGTTGCAGAAATGTTTTCCCACTTTGAATTTCCAACAGGAGGACACTTTACCCAAGGTAATGTGTGCTCCCTGTCATAAAAGTTTAGAGGAGTTTGGTGCCTTTGTAGATCGGGTTTGGACGGCCCAGACAGATTTACAAAGAAAATTTCGTACCAAGGCTGTAGAAAAACCGGTAAAAATCAAGCAAGAGCCTTTGGTAAGAGTCAAACAGGAGGTGGCTGAGTGTGGCTACGAAGAGAGACAAGATACTAATGGTTTTGGGGGTACTAATGAAGACTACGATGCTGCTCTTGAGGGAGGCGGGCATGAAGAGGGTGATGATCAAAAATTTGAATTTTGTGATTTTCCCATTATCAATGATTGTGATATTATGGAGATTATCAATTTAGATGATCCTTTTATAAATATACCGGATGATGACAACACTACCACCGTCAATGAGGAGGAGGAAATCCTGCAGAAGCCCATACAAGAAGCTGTGATGAATTATATGCCTACGGCTCATGAATTGCTGCAGTCTCACCTGCTAATGGAGGAACATAATTATGCCTACATAGATGCTGATACAGAATTCAAAGAAGAAAGGCAAATCTATAAAACAGAAAAGTCAGATAATGATGAACGTTTAGTGGAATATGTTAACTGTAATAATCAGCCACAACAACAGCAGAACACAGCCCTGCCAGCTGTTTACAGTAATGAGACACGTTTAAATACGGAGCATTTGTTAAATGAAAATCATAATTTGGAAACTACTGCTGCTTTTGAAAAACGTGCTTTAAAACCTATAGTTACCTCGGTGAGTGCCATACAGCAACCCACTAAACCTTCCTCCAATGGCATAGTTGTACTCAATGAAAGTATTGTGAAATCGGGTTGTGGATTTCAATTACATGCTTGTATGGTTTGTCAATTAAAGTTTTTCTCCGTGGAGAGTCTAAAGCAGCATTATACACAGCATCATAGTGCTCCTATGGTAACGGTACCAAATGAAAATATACCTTTACAAAAGAGTCCACAAAATACCTGTAAAATGGAAAAAGAATACCAGGAAACAAATGCCGAAAACTGCCAAGAAATGCTGACCAAAAGAACTCAAGTAACAGATGGCAATAAAGATGTCAATAATGAAAAGATAGAAAAAGAAACTAAAAAGGAAACACCTGACAACTTTGTAGAAAAGCAATACCAGGAAAATCAAAGTTCCTGCCAAAATAGTATACAAGAAACTACAATAAATGATGAAATACAGCAAATAACCCAAAATAATAATAAAGAACTAAAAGAAATGGTTGTAAATATTAAAACTAGAAAAACAAAACTTAAAATTCCTTTAAAATCTCGAAAATCTCAAAATGTTTCTCTCAATGTCATGGCCAATCAGTATCAACAATTAAGGAAATTATATCAGAAGCTGCAAAAGAAATGTACAAATCTAGAACAAAATGTAGAACAATTGCAATTATTGCCAGCAGCAACAAATACAACAACTAAGAAAACTAATAAAAAACTTAAACCATTAAACACTCAAAAAACCAGCAAGACTAGAAATAGTAGCCAATTAAAATCCACTCAATCTTTAGAGAATAAAAAAGTTTCCTTTACTTGTGCTGAATGCTCAAAGTCCTTTTCTAATGCCAATAGTTTAAGACAGCATAAAATTACCCATACCGAGGAAAGAAAACATCATTGTAGTTTATGTCAACGCACTTTTAAGAGACGTAATGGTCTGCTGCAGCATTTAAAAGGTTTCCATTTGCAGGTGAAACCCTTTTGTTGTCCAGTTTGTAAGCACAGCTATGCTTTAAAGTGTGATATGTTGCGTTGTAAACATTCGACTTTAAGGAATTTACAGACGTCCAGTGAAACGTCAAATGTTAATAGGGGACGATTAGTATTAAAAAATTTAGAAAAATAAAAACTAAATTATTGTTGTAAGAGAATTTAAAAAAGAAGTTTTCTTTATTAGAAATCTATAGGGAATTAAATATTAACAGTTATTTCTGTAGAAAATTTTGTATAACAGATTATAAGTTGCCAGAATTAGATACAGAAGATTAGTATATTTCAAAACCTTTGTACCACTAAATAGTTTCCCTTTGAACCAGTAAATTAAATTCGCATTCGTATAACGTCTTTCTTAATATCGAAATATTTCATTTCGTATATCGAGTATAGTTTTCGTAATTCCATTCAGCATTTATTTCGAAAGACCAGTTTTTATCATAGACCAAAACCAATACTTTTCCAATATCGAATTACATGCGAATAACGATTCGAAGGTTGTAGCGAAATAGTTTTAAGTGCAAAAATTTAAGTTCGAAGATGTTATAGGAAAACAATTTGACATAAAAACGTTATAGCCACAATTTAATAAATAAATGTAATAAAGCTTTAGGAGCTTATTATCCAAAAATCGCTTTTATAACTTTACCAAAATACGTTAAAATTTCAAAAGAAGCTAATTGTGTGATAAACCGAAGTTCTTTTATTCAAAAACCTTGGTAAGGAAGGATTATGCATCCTAAAGTGTAATTCCACTTAGAGGCCGTTATGTAAGTAGTCAACAACAGAAACAACGACTAATTCCTCCGATAAATCTTACTAACTTGAATGGATTAAATCCAGCAACCCAATTCTTCTTAGCAATTTCTTCCTGAGACCCTGTACTATACGATAATTGCACATTATATGCTTAATTGTCACAAGCTCCTCCTGATCGTCTCATAGCCTGCAGAAGTCCAGTATAGTCATGTCCCATTTGCTAACAAAGGCTTTAAAGAGTTCTCAGATTACAGCTATCCAGTCCAAAATACTGGTTGCCTTTGCATAAATTTGTGGCCATAAGGCCTTAGGCCATACCTGATTAGTTTTGGCCATACCTGATTAGTTTTGTTACGGAATCTATCAGAGATCATCCTGTAATAGTGGCAAATGGGTGGTTTGGCATTTCTGTCAGTTTCATTTAGGCCAAGGTTAGGCCTACATCGTTCGCTACCTCATTACCCAGTACATTGCAGTGTCCTGGTACCCAAGACAGCCTTATTTTAACCAGCCCCATAAGAGCATTTCTATACTCTACGTCTATGTCGTATAACATACCACTGCTTTAAGTGCAGATCACTATCGAATTGTAACTACTGACCCCAGAACTATCAGTTTCCTAGCTTTCCAGGTCGCTAGAATCTCTGCTTGGAAGACACTGCTTTCATTAGACAGTCTGAAATACCTTTTTATTTCCATGTCAGCAGTAGATATCGGTAACTGCATCAGCTTTCATCTTGGATCTATCGGTAAATACAGCACACCGCTCAAATAGTTAGTTTACCGGATAGTGGGCGTTGTCCCGAAATCGTAAGTCCCTATGATCAGAAATTTTAATGGGAATGTTCTCTTGATCAAATTTACTCATTTCATACAATATTTTTGTGCCATTATCACGCAAATGTTCTACCAATGTAGACTCATAAATCCTTAGCATGTTCCTCACAGATCCTCTATAGGGATCAGATGCATCAAGTTATTCAAAGCATCCTGTGGTGTTTAATATCTAGTCAAAATTTTCAAAATTTTAATTGTCCACGTCTGCTTCAATTTTTTTCAAATGTTATACTCCAGCAAAGAAGCAAACCTAAAGTTTGGTTACTTACCTTTTCTAGTGCAGACATTAACCCAGTAATATCCTTTTACAGGGGAAAACCAGCACAACACACCTCAATACTCTGGGGAAACTGGGAACAGGAGAACATTTTACACGAAATTCAACTTAAAATTAACACACTCCTTAAAGCTTTCCTTTAAGGCGAAATCAAAAAAGCTTTTTATCGGAGTCCAACACAACGTTTGTAGTAAAAGTACACCATTGACACGCACACACACACACCAACCGAGTGCAGACCAGACCTAACCTAGAACAAGAAGAAGACGAAAAAAAAAGAACAAGCATAAGCACAATTAAACCGAGAAGAAGAAGATTTATATCGTTCAGTAGTACCATCAGGACCAATATCTACAACAGTAACACACATATTTTTTTTGGCCATTGCTTCAGTTGCTTACAAGAGTCACTAAAGTACGGTACACACAATGGTACTCAACGCTTGATTCCAGTTATTTTTTACTCGCGTACGAAAGAATTTATCATTTGTTATTGTTATTATTATACGAACTCGTACTCTAACTATGCTATTCGTATGGTGAACGTGTTGTTGCTGGTCTACTAAACAATAGAAACGAATGATTTAAAACGGATATTAAAGGAAAATTAAGTGTAAAAACCAAAAAATAAAAGAAACAACAATAACAACATCACCTTTTTTTAAAGTGAATGAAAAGTATGCAATTGCTTTTATGGTTGTTGTTGTTAAATAATACAAGTCAAAAGTGTTTTTAATATTTTTTTTTTAAGTAAAAAATGTAATTATTTATAATTTAAAGAAAAATAAAGAAAAGCAGCTAAAGAAAGAAATGATGTTTAATAATAAATTACAACGCTGTTTAAAATAATTGTATGTGAGTGCGTCAGTGTGTGTGTGTGAAGGGCAATTTTTTACGTGTGTAAACAATGAAACTTCCGGTCAATATCATTTTATACACGTTAATTATATGCCGGGCTGTGTCTTAATGCAAGTAACAAACACAACAACAAACTGACAAAAAAAGCCTATTGTTTATGTATTTTTTTTTTTAAATTTAATATTTTCTGCAAAGTATAAATGTGTTAAAAAGAGATAATCTAAAACTATTATAAAAATTTATCGCATGACCAAAAATAAAAAAAATTAAACCGAGGTCAGTTTCAACATATGTAAAGGGTGTGTGCCTTCTAAATTGCAAGCACATACATACATACAAATGTATGCTACATAAATACATGTGTATTACATACTTCTGTACATGTATTTGTATGTATATTTGAACTTGCATGTAAATGCCAGTGTAAAATTTTCATTGAATGTGTATATAATAGGATTTCATATCTGTATCTGCACATTCATGGGATATGTAGATACATATGTATGTATGTTTATGCCCCTGTGTTTAGAAACATTAACACTTAATGTTTATTATCGCTGTCAAAGTGTCAAAAGCCATCTTCTTCTCCACATTGTCGTTTTGTGTGCGGTTGGTCTGTTTGTTCGTTCGGTCGCATGGTAATTTGGTTACAGTTAAAAGCATCCTCAACTACCAATATCCATTGTAATAATTGTAATAACAATAAATGACAAAAACATCATAAGAAAAAAAAAAAAAACTGTAAGCCAAACAAAACTCAAATGTTTCGGTTATAAAAATATAAATGGACTGTTGTTATTTTTTACTACTTACTATATCGTTGTATCCTAATTGTTGTATTTGTTATTAAGGTGTTTAACGTATAAAAAGACATTTACGAAATACATATTTTCCATACATACTATAGTTGCTAAGTACTTAACATGTATGTACTTATGTACTCTTACGGTTATTTTGTTCGGCTGTAAGTAGGACGAGAGTAAAACGGATTATTTGTTTAAATTTCATACATTTTAGGTATTATGTGTGGTATTTTACAAAACGTTTTTTTCAAGATTTTATTTGATTTACTTAAGATTGTAAAGAGTTTTTACACTTACTTAGAGTAATATATTGTAAATGTATTATGATATTATCATGTTTATGTAAGATCTTTCTGAGATGTCACGCCCTTTTTAGGCCGATCTTTTGTAAACCACTTGTAATAACAATTTTCTGTGCAACAGTGGTATAAAACTGCTGATTCGATTTAAATGAACTTTGGTATACTCTTAGATTTTCACTCGGAAGCCTTTATAGGCTGGCTATACGATATCATGATTGAATGCCACGCCCTTTTATTACATACATTTGTTGTAAAACGATTACAATCTTGATTAGATCTTGATTAGATCTCATATTTAAACTCAAATCAAGCATATGCAATATGTGATGTTGATTGGATGCCACACCCTTTTTGCGCCCACTTTATTAAAACAGTTACAATACTATTTCTCTAAACAGACAAGCATCTAATGAACTCCCCTTTTTACGCCCACTTTTTACTACTACTTTTTACTCTCACTTTTGTTAAACAGTTATAACATAAAATATCTACGCAATACAAACAAATATAAGATTTTGATAAGATGTCCTGCTTCTTTTCACGCCCACTTTTTGCAAAACTATTTTAATAAAAATGTTTAAGGAAATCATTGATATTTGTACTATATATGACCTTTTAATTGAACAACACGCCCCTTTTTATGTTTACTTTTATAATGTTACATTTCTAGATAACATAGACAAATTACTACTAAAGCAATTTTTTGTTTAATACCCCGATAAGTCTTCCTTCGGAAGAGTAGATTTTTATTTTTATGCCACACCTACTTTATGTAAAATAGTTGCTATACCAAACAGGCAACCAACTATTCAACCCAGTTACTTAACAGTTGCCAAAGCGTTAGATCTATTATAAAGTCTTAATTAAAATTCACGCCCCTTTTACGCCCACTTTTTTAAAGCAGTTAAAAACTTCGTTGAGGAAAAACTAAACTGTCCATGGGGGAAAGAATAAGTATAAATAGGATATTATTTCAATATTGATATTTGTCTTTTTATTTTTGAGAGTTCCCATAAACGATTGTATTAAACCTAAAGTCTAGCGATCATGTATTCTTAGTTCCTGATTTAGAAATACGATCCATAATCTGTTTCCTATTGCAATTTTGTTAATTGTTTCATGCTTTCTTTCTGAACTATAATTTGCTCATTGTCTCATAAACGACTTGAAACGCCTGTTTTACCAAACTTTCGCATGAATGATGTGAATATGCATCGGATCTTCTTTCGGTTCTGGGTACGACCATACAATGTGACATCCGATGGAACCTTCATATTTTTGAAATAGCAAAAGAACCATTTAAATGTTTTAGTTTTTTAAGACGTTGTAGAAAATACTTCTCCGCCTCTGATCTGCTCCGTATTTACAACACCTTCATCCGACCTAAAATATAATATAATTCGCATGTATGGGCCGCAGCCTCAAGGACTAGTCTTGCGTTGCTTGACAGAGTACAAAGAAGGGCAGTGTGTCTTATAGACGATGAAACTGTCAATGATTCTATTGATTCCCTAGAACATAGACGAAACGTAGGATGCTTGTCCTTAGTCTACAGATATTACTATGGACACTGTTCAAGAGAGATAGCGGAACTTGTCTCTATACACAAGTCTTTCAGGTAGATCTCATCCAAACACTAATTCCTCTTCCCTCCTTCTCTCATCTTTACTTTCTAATATCAACACGATGAACTGCATTTATAGGGGTATCCCCCGATTGTTGGTTTGTCATATAAAAATAAAAATTTTGTTGGTATTTAGCAGCATAATTGATCGTGCATTTCTTCTGCAACAATTCTTGCTGGATTTGAATATTTTCGAGGAATCTAAGCAGTTGATTGCAATTTGGATTTCGACTAAAAAATATGTTCCATGATTTGTCGGGAGATAAGATCGCATACACTAATTTAAAATATTGATCCATTGATGGATTTCTTAAATTGGATTGTCAGTTTGAAATTCTCACATTTTCTGATTAAATAGACAAGATCCATAGTCAGTTTTCTATTACGATCTTATAGTCGTGTGTAAAAACGAGATCAGTTCCCTGCGCTTTTATGGCTGAACAAATTTTGGTTGAATTTGAATTCAGTTTGAGGCTTAACTTTTGAATTACGTTTTGACATTTGTGCGATCGTATAAACAGTTGACTTTTGATGTTATGCGATCAGTTTTTTTCTAAAGAATTTAGTGTTTGGCAGAATCTCTGGAAAAAATATATTGAATTTAATATTGTGTTTAGATTCATTCTGCAGATTTGATAGCTTCCGAATGGATTCTATTTCGAAATCGAAACGATTTATCAAGAACTTATATTGTTATAAACTAAATTAGAAAATAAATCACCCTCTAATACAAAAATTTAATGCTCTACATTTTTCAGCTCATCCCAATAGTATTACCTGCAATCACAATAAATTCAATTAAAAACATTTAAAATTAACTAATCTCTATTTAATAATTAAAATTCACAATAACTAACGAAATTTATATTAATTAAATAATAATAACTAAACGTTCGTTTATGTATTTATATCAAAAAAAAAAAAAATATCAATTAAATTTACATATAAAAAGTTAAATATATGAAATAAAGTATTTATAAACACATATGAATAAAATTAAATAAAAAAATTAAAAATGAAAAACAAATTATGTTAATATAATACCACAAATTTTATAATTATAACCCATATAAAAAAAATAAAAATTAATTAAATCAATTAAAAAAAAAAACAAATAATAAAACAACATGTTGTTGCAATTAATGAAACGTCTTCAAATAATTGTATGGCTGCTGTTGACATTTAATTTAACTTTGCTCTATTCAACAATTTTATCAACTGTCACCTTAATAACACCAACTTTAGCAGCAGCCGAGACAGTAACAATTTCCTCAACAGCCGCTTTAGCATCAGCAACAACAACAACCTTTAAATCTTCATCGCCCTCCACAACCTCCTCTTCAGTCTCAAATCACAACAGACGTTTACATTTACACTTGGAACATCATCAATATACACAACAACAATATCCTGCCTCATATCAAAATTATCCCTTAACACCACACATTGCAACTGAATTTATGGATGAATTTCATAGTCCAAATCAAGCGGGTAAGTAGATGTTGTTGTTGTCGTTATTATTACTGTTTGTATTTACATAAAATGCCTTTGGATTTAAATAATATTAAAATATGCATTCTATACATACATATGTTTTATAAATATGTACATAAGAAGCAGAAATATGCATATTTACTTTACATTCAAGCTTATGGCAAGTTTATATTTGTTTCTTTAAATACTACATTATGGCTGCAAATAGGGACACACTTATAGATGTATATATCTTTAGGGGTTAGGGTTTTTCCTATGAAAATCTGTTGCAAGAGAGTTTTTTTTGAAAATTAAAATTTAAGAGTTTAGAGGTAAAGGTAGGGGCACATTGTTTTCTTAGGATAAAAAATTAATTGAGTATTTTTGGAAAAATTACCAGCTGTCAAGTAACATGTTGTACTTTTCCATGAATTAGATGAAGAAAATTTCTTCAAGAAATTAATGAAAATAACTAATTTGTGTAAAAAAATGATTTTACTTTTTTGACATATTTATTAGGTTACAATTTAGCACCTTAGAACTAGTGAACAAAATTATGATAAAGAAAACTAGGCCCTATCACTATACGGTAGCCAGTTGTGATCTAATAACGGAAACCTTTATCAGACGTAATTTTAGTGCGAAAACTTTTGTACCGATTTTCTGTAACTCTGGACAAGACTAAAGCTTATACTTTGAACCAGTCTACAGTCTAAACTCTGAACCAGACTGTAGTCTATATTCTAGACCAGACTGTAGCCTATACTCTAGACCAGAATATAAACTATACTCTGGACCAGAATATAGTCTATACTCAGGACTAGACTATAATCTATACTTTGAACTAGACTTAAGTATATACTTTGTACCACACTATAATCTGGACTACACTATAGTCTGTTATCTGAACCAGACTATAGCCAAACTAGTCTATATTCAGTATCAAACCAGACTATAGTCTATACTCCGATCAATAATATAGTCTATACTCCGGCTATACTAATCTAATCTTTGCTCCAGACTTTAGTCTACATCCTGGATCAGACTAGTGTCTATACTCTTGACCAGTACATACTTTGGACCAGATTATAGTCCTTACTTTGGACCAGACTATAGTCTATACTCTAAGCCAGGCCATAGTCGATACTCTCTACCTGACTATGTTCTATACTCTGTACCTGACTATAGTTTACTCTCTGAATTTGACTGTAGTCTATACTCTGGACCATACTATAATCTAAACTCTGACCAGACTATAGTCTAAACTCTGAACTAGACTATAGACTAAACTCTAGAGCAGACTATAGGCCATACTCTGGATCACACTATAGTTTATACTCTGGTCCAGAATATATATAGACCAGAATATAGTCTATACTCCGGACTAGACTATAATCTATACTTTGAACCAGACTTAAGTACATATATACTTTGTACCACACTATAGTCTGTTATCTGGACCAGACTATAGTCAATACTAGTCTATATTCAGACCGGACTATAGTCTATGCTCCGGTCAAGAATATAGTCTATACTCCTACTCTCTGGATTTGACTAATCTAATCTGGCTAGACTAATCTAATCTTTGCTCCAGCCTTTAGTCTATACCCTGGATCAGATTATAGCCTATACCCTGGACTAGACTATAAACTATACCCTGGACCAGACTATAGCCTATACTCTAGACCAGACTATAATCCGTACTTTGGACCAGACTATAGTCTATACGCTGAACCTTGCCGATACTCTGGATCTGACTGTAGTCTATACTCTGGACCTGACCGTAGTCGATACTCTGGATCAGACTATAATCTAAACTCTGGACCATACTATAGTCTAAACTCTGAACTAGAATATAGACTAAACTCTGAACTAGACTTTACTCCGCACTATGGTATGTACTCTAGAATAGACTGAAGCCTATTATCTTGATCAGACTGTAGTTTATGATCTGGATCAGACAATAGCCTATACTCAGCGTCCAGACTATAGTTTATACTCTACACCAGACTTTAGTCTATAATATGGACCAGACTTTAGACTATACTCTCGACCAGACTATAGTCTATACTCTCGACCAGACTATAGTCCTCATTTTATTGTTTGGAATGAATTTGTGTGAAACCTGTAATTTTGTGTAAAATTATAATTTTAGTGTGAATTTTTTTTATGAAAAGTCATCAAAAAATATTTAAAAATTCAAAAATTTTCGAAAATAAAATTACCTTCCGATATACTGAATACGAGAGTTAAATTTCAGTTTTAAATTTCTATGTTTGTTAGTATGTATTAGCATAACATTCCCAAATGTGTTCACATTATTAAAGAAATGTCTTAATCAATAGTTTATTTTATTGCCTAATACCTTATATAACTTATTATTCATTAGTATACGAAGACAGCTAATTTAGAATATTGTGTCATACTTATGTAAATCCTCTATTTTTGATTCCTGTATATTTAATAAGTCTATTTTTCTACTCTCATAATTGTCAATTATATGCCAAGGATTTGTTAAACATGATATAACATGACAGAAAGACATATACTATTCATATTATAGAAGGGAAGAAAGCAGTAAAAATGTTAATAAAAATTTGATTATTTGAACACTTTTTAGATGACTAACACAAAATATTTGTTAAATCACCTGAGCGTATGAATAATATTTGTATATTTATAATGAAAAGAATATTGCTCATACGCTTAGAGTGTTTTTTTTTGTTATTTTTAATACCCTTAAACTCTTCATTTAAAATTCATTTTTAATAACTTTAAAATATAATAATAAAAATGGGAAAAAATCAAGTAAAAGTAATTCCGTTGAGCAACCAGCCAGAGTATTTGTGAATCATAAGATTAAATTGAAATGTTGGCTGATTTCTGGTTCGTTATTTTTATTGTTCACTCATAAAAATTCATTAGTTTTTATTTGTTGTTGACAAATCTTCCATTCTCTTTTTTTCACAATTTGCCCAGTAAACTGCTAAAAAAGGGAAAAACAACAAAAGAAAAAAATAACAACAACAAACAAATATAAAAATACAATATAAATTGTTTTTAAATTTCGGTTTAAATTTTGTGTTGTTCTCGTTATTGTTGTTGTTGCTACTATAGACGGAAATAACTGAGAATAATTTAATAAAACTTTTTTTGTCGTTCGTTTTGTGTGTGTATGAGAGAGAGTTCTTGTTCCTGTAATTCTAAAATAACAAGTGTATTGGTAGTATTATAACAACAATTTGTTTGTTAGAAAAAAAAAAAAAAAAACGACACAGAACTTTTGAAAATTGAAATTTGTTCTTTAAAGTATTTTTTGTTGTAGTTGAAATTATTCCAACAATACAAACAATCATATTTCTATACAGATTTATTTATCGAGACCGGTTGGCATTGTAAGTTTAGTTGTTTTTGTTTTACGAATTGAAATCAACTCAATTCAAAAGTTTTTTCTGTTTCTTTATTTTCAATTTGCATGAGGCATGGCATCGTAAAATAATTTTATTACTCCGTCACATTGTGAGGCATCATCATCAGCATTAACATCATTGGCATCATATCACAGTTGTAGTGTAGACGTTTTCATCTTCGTCGTCATCATTATTATTTTATTATTATAATAATATTCTCGAGAACTTTGTGAGAATTAAGTTTATTTATATACAAAACACACACGCGTTTCCTCTTATAAATATTCACATCCAGAGAAATAATTGGTTGGACATGGTTAAAGCAATTATTCTATAATTTATAATATAGTTTGTATAGTCAAGTCTATAGTCTAGTCTATAGTCTAGTCTATAGTCTAGTCTATAGTCTAGTCTATAGTCTAGTCTATAGTCTAGTCTATAGTCTAGTGTATAGCCTAGTCTATAGTATAGTCTATAGTCTAGTCTATAGTCTAGTCTATAGTCTAGTCTATAGTCTAGTCTATAGTCTAGTCTATAGTCTAGTCTATAGTCTAGCATATCTAGTCTATAGTCTAGTCTTAGTCTAGTCTATATCTAGTCTATAGTCTAGTCTATAGTCTATTCTAGTCTAGTCTATAGTCTAGTCTATAGTCTAGTCTATAGTCTAGTCTATAGTCTAGTCTATAGTCTAGTCTATAGTCTAGTCTATAGTCTAGTCTATAGTCCTAGTCTATAGTCTAGTCTATAGTCTAGTCTATAGTCTAGTCTATAGCTCTAGTTCATAGTCTAGTCTATAGTCTAGTCTATAGTCTAGTCTATAGTCTAGTCTATAGTCTAGTCTATAGTCTAGTCTATAGTCTAGTCTCTAGTCTAGTCTATTAGTCTAGTCTATTAGTCTAGTCTATCGTCTAGTCTATAGTCTAGTCTTATTAGTTCTAGTCTAGTCCAGTCTATAGTCTTTTAGTCTATAGTTGCTATAGTCTAGTCTATAGTCTAGTCTATTATAATCTATAGTCTATAGTCTAGTCTATAGTATAGTTCTATAGTCTAGTCAAGTCTAGCTATGTCTAGTCTATAGTCTAGTCTATAGTCTGTCTTTACAGTCTAGTCTATAGTCTAGTCTCTAGTCTAGTCTATAGTCTAGTCTTAGTCTAGTCTATAGTCTAGTCTATAGTCTAGTCATAGTCTAGTCTATGTATAGAATCTATAGTTCTGTCTAAGTTCTATCTATAGGTTAGTCTATAGTCTGTCTATAGTCTAGTCTATAGTCTAGTCTATAGTCTAGTCTATAGTCTAGTCTATAGTCTAGTCTATAGTCTAGTCTATAGTCTAGTCTATAGTCTAGTCTATAGTCTAGTCTATAGTCTAGTCTATAGTCTAGTCTATAGTCTAGTCTATAGTCTAGTCTATAGTCTAGTCTATAGTCTAGTCTATAGTCTAGTCTATAGTCTAGTCTATAGTCTAGTCTATAGTCTAGTCTATAGTCTAGTCTATAGTCTAGTCTATAGTCTAGTCTATAGTCTAGTCTATAGTCTAGTCTATAGTCTAGTCTATAGTCTAGTCTATAGTCTAGTCTATAGTCTAGTCTATAGTCTAGTCTATAGTCTA